CCCTAAACCCTTAACCCCAAACCGTAGATTACGACTGCAGGCCCAGGCTAGGGAGCTGGGGTTTTGGGTCTCGGGTCTAGGGCAGCTCGAACGTTACAAGGAGCAAGACGTTCTAACTAGGCTGCTCAGTAGCATACTNNCTCTTTGGGTTCCTGGGTTCCTAGTATAGTGCAATTAACCTAAAAAAGTATATACTTTTTTTCCAGGGGGTTCCTGAAGAGTCTAGCTACAGTTTGCAAGGGCTACCGGGGTTTGCGAGCAGAAGAGGCAAGATGACACGACTGAGCGATCAGCTGATCCCAAGCCCCGAAGCCTCTAAAACCTAAACCCTAAATCCTGTAGCAGTAGCGGAGTAGCGGAAACGAAACCCTGATTCGGGGACCTCGGGGGACTTCAAACCGGACCACTTTAGTTTTAGGGGTTTAGGGTGTAGCGTGCACATTTGCAGTGTACCAGCACGCCATGTGCTCTTGCCGAGGACATCTGGACCGGGCACAGTAAGGATGTGCTGCCGCGGCTGCCGAGGATGGGCGTGGGGTTTTAGGGTTTACGGATGTTTATGGTTTCGGTCCACAGCTTTTCCTGTGCGCTCTTGCCTTAAGAGGTGGTGAGGGTTGCATACTGTAGGCGCTGGCCGGCACCTCAGTCCGTGCTGAAGAAGGGTTTATGGTTTAGGTGTATTTTTAGGCTAATGCGCGAGGGGTTCGGGTTTCGTGGGTAGGTTTGTTGGACCATCTCTTTGCCATGCCATTTCTTTTCGCGCTTCGGGGTCGTTATGTAGCCCTGTTTCTTCAGAAGGCACGATCCCAGGACAACCGATGCACCGAACTCCGAACCCGCACTGATGTCAGACCCTAACATAGCACCGGCAAGCAAGGGGGCGATTAAGCCTCTTGGATAACTTCTGCTCCCATCCGCTCCTGCCATGTCGCGCAGTTGGAGTGTGTCTGGAAACGAGCCGGCATTCGTCTCCGAGGAGGCATGCCTGTTTGTGTCCGAAGTGAAGCAACCCTTTGCGCAGACTGCATGGCTTCCCGCGTTGCCCGCAAAAAGCTCGTATGTGATGGCAAAAACGTAGAGGATGATGAGGAGGCACCTGCTGACTTGCAGTTGCGACGGCTTACCGAAATCCGTGAAGATCAGGAAGAAATCATTGTCGGGGAGGAGCTTTTCCAGGCTGCCCGAAATGGCCACCATGAAACGGTGCGCTTTCTTCTGGAAGCTGGCATGGACATCGAGTGGATCGACAGGACAGGTGTTTCAGCCCTTCACCACGCAGCCCAAGAGGACGTTGAGATTGAGGACCATCAGGATTTCTTTGACTGCTAAACAGCGCTGATGATTGCAGCCAGCACGGGGAAGTTTGAGATTGTCCGTTTACTTCTGAATTCTGGTGCTGACAACCCTGAAGAGTCTTGATGGCGAAACGGCGCTCATGAGAGCGGTTTCGCCATCAAGACTCTTCAGGGTCTTGTCATCACTAGAATTCAGAAGTAAACGGACAATCTCAAGCTTTCCCGTGCTGGCTGCAATCATCAGCGCTGCAGCGAAGGGGCGCTGAGATCGCACATTTGATTGCAGACGCTGGCACGGATTGAAGTGTTGCTGCACGCTGGGCAGGTCTTCCACAAGCAAGCCCTAAACCCCAAACCCGGAACTCTAAACCCATACAGCGGACATCGCAGCACTGCTTTCAGCGAACGTCATGACCGGCCGCCATCGAAAATATTCAAAATCATCGCAATAAGGGCCTCAATTGCTGGTTTGTAGGAAGTAATTAGATGAAATTGAGCTACGAGGTTTTCGAAATTGTTTTCCGATAGAACCTCGCAGTTCACGGCAACTCAGTGTGTTGAAGGTGTATACCTGAATATTTGCAGATTCGTGCAGTGCCCACTCTGTGCGAATGTCCTAACGAGCCTTTCCAGGAAGTCGTGTGTATTCAGAGTCGGAATCCCATGAGAGCCGACCCTAATCAAATCCCAAGCCCAATCAAAAGCCGCCATTGTCCCTACATGATTTCTGTTACACTTCAACCCCAAGACACTGCTAAACTGTCAAGGCCCCCTTGCTAGGATCGACCCTGGGCAATAAAGCCAACAACCCACCTGGCATGAACGAGTTTACTCGGGATGTCGAAGAACCCACAGTGCTTGGGCTGAAGAGGAGGGCATGGGCAGTGCAAGGCTTGGGGATTTCTAGGCTTTAGGTCTCAGGCTGTTAGGTCAGGGTCGAAGGTTTACGCGGTTGCGGAAGACAAGCCCCGCGCACAAGTGGGGGTAGCAGCAGCGACCAGGGCATGACACCCGTCTAGCTGCAACTCGAAGGTAAGATGTCTATATCATACACACACACAGAGAGCGCACTACACAGATATGTATGCATGCACCTATACACTACGTAAAAATAGACATGTCCGTATACATATGTACAGACACATACTGCTGTATAATATGCACACAAGCACGTACCCACGCATACGCACCGGCATGCATGACGGTGCATGCCTGTGTATGAGTATTGCATGTATGCATATATATATATGTGTGTGTGTGAAGATTCTCGAGTAGAAATGGCGCCTGGACGCAGGAAGTATGGCGGCCGGCAGAATTTCAAGCTCTGCGGCGTCTTCATGGAGCCCTGGCCCAAAACCCGAAGCCGGAAATCTTATCCTTAGACTTAGTGGTTCTAGA